CAGCTTCCATGTCTAAATTTAGTTGTTTCAGTGCCCACCACGCTCTATGCTCAAGTTCTACAGATAGGTTACAGGCCTTCCCAAACACTAACTTGTATGGTGACATACCAATTGGTGTCTTGAAAGCTGTCTTGTAGGCCCAGAGTGCATCATCTAACTTCCTCGCCCAATCAGTTCTCGTAGCGTTCACAGTTTTTGTTAACACACTCTTGATTTCCCTGTTGGATACCTCAACCTGTCCACTAGTCTGCGGGTGGTAAAGAGTAGCCACCTTGTGGCGCACATCGTATTTTGTAAGCAACTTCTCGAAGGCTCTATTGCAGAAGTGAGTGCCTCCGTCACTGATAATCGCTCGTGGTGTCTCGAAGCGGGTGAATATGTTCTTCTTTAGAAACCCCACCACCATTTTTGCATCATTGGTGGGCAATGCTACAGCTTCCACCCACTTGGACACATAGTCTACGGCAACAAGGATGTATTTATTACCATAAGAGCTGACGAAGGGACCCATGAAATCAATCCCCTATACGTCGAACACTTCTATCTCCTGAATTGGGTTCATGGGCATCTCGTGGCACCGGGAAATGTTCCCGGTGCGTTGACATTCATTACAACCCTTCACCTATGAGTGGGCATCTTTAAACACAGTCGGCCAGAAAATTCGGCCTCTAGCACCTTTGCTGCTGTCCTGATCTCTCCAAAGTGTCCACCATAAGCCGATGCATGACAAGCCTGCAAAATAGAAGATTGTTCTATCTCGGAGACGCATCTCCGGATCATGTTATCCAGGCATATTCTAAAGAGATAGGGCTCGTCCTAATAGTACAAGCAGCTTTCACGAAAAAATCACTTCCTCTGGACCGATGAAAGGTCGTGAGGAACTATACTACTGGCCAGGTAATTGGCCAAGTCCGCATACCATGGCGCTTCCTGATGAGTGATGGTGAGCAGTTGCTCGTCTGGAAAAGTTTCCAGAATTTCCTCAACTTCAATTGCATTTTCAGCTCCCTCAAGTCGTGATAGGTGATCAGCGACTTGATTCTTAGTGCCTTTGCGGTCACGTATTTCAAGATCGAACTCTTGCAGCAGCAATACCCAATGAATCAGGCGTGGCTTAGAGTCTTTATTTTCTATTACGTACCTGAGAGCAGCATGGTCAGTGTATACAATTACCTTTGATCCTATCAGGTAGGGCCGGAACTTGTCAAATGCGAACACCACAGCTAGCATCTCCTTTTCAGTCACCGTATAGTTCAATTGAGCTCCACTAAGCGTTCGACTGGCATAGTAGATTGGGTGCATCAATTTGTCCTTTCGCTGGCCAAGCACTGCCCCCACTGCGTAGTCACTAGCGTCACACATTAGTTCGAACGGTTGCTCCCAGTTGGGGGCAACAATGATGGGTGTTGTGACCAGCTTCTACTTCAACTCCTCAAACGCTACCCTGCAATCATCAGAAAACACAAACGGGTGATCTTTCTCTAATAACTTACAGAGAGGGTTGGTGATTTTGGAAAAGTCTTTTATGAACCGCCGGTAGAAACCGGCATGTCCAAGAAAACTTCTGATTGCTTTGACCGAAGTTGGTGGAGGCAGCTTTGCTATTACATCAACCTTTGCTCGATCTACCGCTATTCCCTTGATAGACAGTCGGTGCCCCTAGACTATGCCTTCTTGTACCATGAAATGGCACTTCTCCCAGTTCAGCACCAGATTAGTCTCGATGCACCGTTTCAGCACACGCGTCAAATTCACCAGGCACTCATCAAATGAACTCCCCACCACTGAGAAGTCATCCATGAACACCTCCATTATTTCCTCAACCATGTCAGTGAATATGGCCATCATGCACCGTTGGAATGTGGCTAGTGCATTGCATAGGCCAAAGGGCATCCTCCTAAAGGCATAAATGCCATAAGGGCATGTGAAGGAGGTCTTCTCTCGGTCCTCATGTGCAATAGAGATCTGATTGTACCCTGAGTACCCATCCAGAAAAAAAAAGTGTGACCTCCCTGCCAATCTATCCAGTATTTGATCAATGAAGGGAAGTGGGAAGTGGTCTTTCCGGGTGGCTAGATTCAACTTTCGATAATCCATGCAAATTATCCAGCCTGTGATGGTTCTCATTAGTTCATTGTTGTCATTCTTCACAACCGTCATGCCACCCTTCTTAGGCATACATTGAACTGGGCTCACCCAGTTGTTGTCAGAGATTGGGAAAATAATTCCCGCATCTAACCACTTTATCACCTCCTTCTTCACCACTTCCTTCATATTTGAATTCAGCCTCCTCTGATGTTCCCTGGAAGGTTTGTGCCCTTCTTCCAGCAGAATTTTATGCATGCAGTAAGTAGGGCTGATCCCCTTGATGTCTGCCATGGTCCACCCAATGGCAGATTTGCACTCCTTCAATACCTGTAGAAGATATTGGACCTGTACATCTAACAAACCAGATGAGATAATAACAGGTAGAGTGGAGTCGGGTCCCAAAAATTCATACCTGAGGTGGGTTGGCAGTGGCTTTAGTTCCAGCTTCGGTGATTCTTCAATGGGTGGCTTAGCTGGAGGAGTTTCTCTCTTTCCTAAGTGTAGGGGCTCGAACTCTAGTTCTCTATCCCAGAACCCTCTACCTTCCAATGCCAACACCCATTCTGCCAAGTCCTCACCGTTCACTTCCTCCAAATTCGTCAAACATGCAGCGAGGGGATCCTCAATCGTCAACACTTCATCATCAGACTGTACGATTACATCCACGGCATCAATAAGAGAGCAATTTGCGAACTCACTTGGGCGCCTCATAGATTTCTG